ATTTTATTCCACTCTTGTTAAAGCATATTTATCCCAAATTTTTCCATTTGCAGTAGACAACAATTACTTAACTGTAGGTATATTTTTTTACAGTCTTACCATTAGCTTCAGTCACAAGTGCACTAACCATTAAAATGTGAACAAATAAATGTGTATGTATAATAAGGTGCTGTACAAATAAAGATTGCTTGTACAGTTTGTCTATGTGCGAGCAAACGTGTCTTTCAAGAGATTAAAGAAGGAACTATACCGGTTAGACACATATTTTTTAAACAATAGGATTCCTGCACTGAAGTCAAGTCTTTGTGAACAACTATAGAAATGCACATGCACTGCTGTGTTTTTACTACATTCTCCCCTGTGATTAAGTCTCTATGTCTCTATGTTGTGATGTTCTTGAGAGAGATCTTATTTATCATTCTGTGAATCCACTTGCTTGGTCATTTTTTCACCTACAAGGAAATAAAAAACTTTTCTTCTGTAGTTATCATATTTATTCAAGTGCAATGGTGACACTTACTTTGTCAGCATCCCCAGACTCAGTATTAACTTAATGACCTCAGTGATGCACACTGCAGTTGTGGAGAAGTACAGGTCGCCTGATGAGATGGTCCTGGTGTATCGCAGTGCCACTGTGTATGTAGCCGCCACCAGTGTCATCACCGTCAGGCAGTACAGCTTGAAAACCACGCTCACATTTTCTGGGTAGAGACAGGATGGAAATGTAGTGACAGTGCTAACTTCATGTAACGTTAGCTAACGGTCATTTCTATACAGTTATTTAACACTGATAACAAGTGTTAGCACTTCGTTTAATGATAACGAAACTATAACTGACACACAACTACTGGCTAACAGCTCTTTAATTAATTTACCCCAGTTTATTTTGCTGTTACCGTTACTGTTGGTCATCTAACGGCTAACATTAGTCTTCCATGCTAGCTTGTAATAACTGGTTAAACTCACCGCCGGCCATCGTTGCTCTGGTTTGTGTCCGTCCGAGAGTCGAGGAAGTCGATAATCCCGTTGACGTTACATGCCATCAAATCTTTCACACATATCCAGTGTGGATTGAGGAATGTTGTCCGACCAGCTAGCTACACATCGCGTAAAGAGTCTGGCTCAGTCTCCTGCCTGGTGGCATACTGACTTCATTTACCAGAATGCAGCGCGAGTCGACGCTATGAAGAGGGCGTTTGTTTTCTGTATCCTGGAATTCAGTTTGTTTGTTAAATGACGACTCTTTGCGTTAATTCGTCATTCTGTCACATAACATTACCACTGAAAACTTTCATTTTTACATTTATAAGTATTCAAGTGTTCTCACAGGTTTCAGCTGTTAACCGTTATTGATAAAATGTCGTTTTTCCCGGGGCGAACCAAACGTCTAAATTGAGAAGAGCAGCCTGGGATGGCACCGTCGGCGGGAATGTTTGATTTAAACGTGTGTTTCGCCCCTGGCAAATGTTTAATCCCCCCTGACAGACAGTAGACACCTGTGAGATTAAAAATTACCTTTGATGATGCCACTCACTGCTGAATCACAGGTAACAACAGGTAGCAACAGGTAACAACTTTTTGGTTTATCTCCCGGAATTTGCGGTGGGAACGCCATATGACCGGATTCCTTGGGTCAAATGAGGATGTGCTAGCTACTGCTTGTCAACAGTTGTTAGCAAGAAATCTAGAACAGTGACTCATTTTTAATTCAGTAGTACAGTAAGTTTTTTTTTTAAATATTTTTGCTTCCCCATATATGTCATGTACCAAGATGGACAAAATATTTGACACAATTTTAAAGGGGATCTACGCTCATTTTCAAAATTCATACATTTTGTTCCTATTATCTAAGACAGTCCAAAATATGAGTAAACATGAACAACTCCCTCCCAAATCCAAAAATTGGAGTGCTAAAACTTGAATTTGTGATGTCATTGCTAGTATAAAGTAGCCTATGGAACTGCTCCACAGACAGTGTAGCCTTAAAGATCAAAACCAGGGCGGTTCAGGAACATGCTCAGAATTGGTCTACACATTCAGGTACAGTAGCTCTAACCTGTTTCCTCCAAGATAACAGGCTTTGTTTAAAAATATATATTTATCTAAGTGATATATGCGCGTGTATTGCTTGTGCAGCTGAATGGGGCACCTGACCTGACCAGCCCATGTGAATACCAGTCCCCCTTTGACGCCATGAACAATCTGACGTCGCCAGCCTGGTTGCCCTGGCGTCGAAGCATGGTGGAAAGAAAGGCTTAGCAATTTGTCTTAAAGTCTAACCTGCCTGTGTGTATGTGGGTCAGTTTTGTTGCTTTTGAAGACGATGAAGTTGGAGCTTAAAATGAACACGTTAAAGGAAGACTTCACCCCTCAAATGACCATCTGTGTATCAGCTACTCACCCTGTGTGACATTTAATTTGTAAGTTAAACTTTGTTTTTCTCAGAAGAATCCAAAAGAGAAAATTCTTGATTAATTGAAGTCGTAAGCGACTGTGTTTAACCACCACAAAAACATATTAAAACATCAGTTGAAAAAGTCCGATTTATATAGTTGTACGCTCAGTACTTCCCAAACAGACAGTCCTTTCCAGTGGGGAACTGAACTGAAAATAAAGCTTATCTATCCACTCTTCAAAGCTAGTCTGCATTGACAAAAACAGTAATTTTACCTCACTGAACGTGAGAGCTGCTGGTCTACCGCTGCCTCGTTCAGTTAGTTTGTGACTTTGGTGTTGTAAAGGGTTAGTTAAGATTCACCAAAGTCACACAAAAACACAAACAAACAGACCAGCAGCTCTCATGTTCAGTGAGGTAAAATTACTGTTCTTGTCAATGGACTCTGGCTTTGAAGGGCACATAGATTCAATTTCACTTTCCATTCCAGTCCCTGTCAGAAAGAGCTGTCTGGGAAGACTCACTTCTCTGGTTTCTGGTTTTGAAAGAGAAGCTCATGTTCAAAATATTGATTGAACTTTTCTAGTCCATGCGAGTAACCTACCGGAATTCCCAATTTAGATGGTGTTAAATGCAAAAAACAAAAAACAAAAATGTTATGGAAGGTAATACTTGTATGTTTCAATGTGTTGCACAGGTGTTTACTTGACAGTCCAGGGGTCCGTTTCACAAAGCAGGTTCAACAAACTCTGAGTCTAATCCTGAACTCTGAGTTGATCTACTCTGAGATAGGAAACTCTGAGTTTCCGGTTCCAGAACAGCTGATTTGAATCAGTTTAATCAACTCGGAGTAGTTTCACCTGGAGTTAAGCGCGTGCACCACAACTATAAAAAGCCAGCATCAATGGAGCCCCGATTCGACGAGTCACCATGGCAACGGGGACGGGGAGGGCTGCGTTTTTCACCCCACTAGAATAAGAAATCTTAATGCACTCATACGGCGAGTTTGCACACGTTTTCAAAAAGAAGTGCAACACCGCTGCAGCTGCAAAAGAGAGGGCGACGGCGTGGGAGAATGCATAAGTTTAAATGTAGTCCTTTGCAATCACAATAATATTACAGGGGAAAACTGCTTGAATGGTAGCCTATTCGTTTATTTCATTTAGGTGCAATCCCGCGGGGGAGAAGCGCACTTGGCAGCAGTTTAGGATGAAATATAAAAGCATTGTTCAAACAGGTAAGACCTCGGCATAATGTCATGGGGGTACCTCATTTTGATCGTGTTTTACATTGTAAAGTAAATATTAAGTGGCTGTTTGACTGTGCAGTTGTTTTATCCCCAACATAATGCTGTTTTCATACACATAAATGTCTTCTCATCTATATCATGTTCTGTTAAATAATTAAGCCTATTTAAACTAACACAGACTTCTACTCAGCCAACAGAAAGAAGGCAGATGCCCGTAAAACGAGCACACTTTTCTGACCGCCCTGCATACAGTTGCCTTACTCAAGTGCTCAGCGTCTCATTCAGTCATTGTACAAAAAACTTCCATTTGCAAAGAAACGCAGCGCAGCACACAATATCTGCTGGGATGTGAGAGCATGACTACGATTGGTAATGTTGCAAATGTAAGGACGGATTAGGTTGTGTATGTAGATGATGGACTGTGACGTGAAACGGTACCGCTCAAAAAGATAATTGTGTGGAAATGCTAAAACATCTATGCGCGTTCTGATAACCATCTCCCGACGAATATTTAATTCTCTGCGCAGTAATGCTGCACCTTCATCCACGGGATCGTTATCAAAAGGACATGCCATGTTAGTGAAAAAAGTCGCCACCTACTGTGCCTAATGGACTTCTAATATACTGACTCTGATTTTTTTTTAATGATTTTTTTTAAAAGACAGACGGCAGAACTAGGCTACGCCAAAACTCGCCTGCTGACTGAATGAATGAGGAAATCAAATGGAGTGTGTGTCTCTGAAAGAGGGCGGAGACAGAGAGAAACTCGAGGTTCATTGAGAAAAACCTGGTCCCGACCAGGTTAGGTTCATAGAGTCTGTTACTATGGTAACTGACCGAGAGCTTAAGTTACCCCTCTCTCTGAAACAGGCTAGAGTTACTCCTCTTTCTCTGGTTTGAGTTACCTCCCTTTTTGAAACGGAAAACTCAGAGTTTCCCTCATTTCAGGGTTAACAGACTCTGAGTTTTCACTAAACCTGCTTTGAGAAACGGACCCCAGTTTCATTTCTGTTCAGCATGTAAGTGTAAACACTTTAAGGATTTTAATGATGGTTGTCATTTTTGTCAGATATTCACATGCTTATTCTGTGTCCAACCATTTTCGTGACAAAAACAGCCAAATGTTCAGTCTTAAAACATTTGCACAAGTGCGTAAAACATTATTTTTGTGTAGTTAACGGGACCTTTATGATAGAGATACTGATTAGCAATTGTCAAATTCCATTTACATGCATTGGCAAATCAATTAATAGGTCACATAAAGTCATAAACTCCCAAAAATACTATTTTGTCATGGTGCGGGCAAAACAAAATATTCAAATCTGATATGCACAGACATGTAAGACAACACCGATGCAGTGAATAAATGTTTGAATTTATTTTTTTGACAAAAAAACAACAAGAAATAAACATGTTCTATATGTCATTTAAGTATTTAATGATTTACCATCAGTCAATGTAAATATTAGAATAACTGAGCAGGAATCACTGTGAAACTGTTAAAATGAACAGCACATGGACTCAGGTTTGCAGCAAGAGTGTATTGACATGCAGTTTCCATCACCGTAAAACAGATTCTGATCGACTTTGTCATCATTTATCATGACATTAAATAAAATGGGGATGTCTAAACTGTTTATAGGTCAAACTGAGACCTGGAACAACAATATGATCAAGATGATGATGGGTGTTCTCAGGGAATACTCTGATACGGCTAATGTTAAAGAAAAGTACTTATTTATTTCAAATAAGTATAAAGAATGGTATCACATTAAACACGTGAGGAAAGGAATGTATTACAGCATAAAGCCTAGTGACTACATCTTCTGTTAAGAATTCACCAGTGCCTTTCATGGCTATTCAGACCTCTACGTAACAATCTGTCTTATCTGTCTGAGCTTCTTGCACGAGAGCAGAAGCGAATCATCTCCCTCTGACAGCAGCCAAAACCCCACCACACTGACATATTTTCCAACATCACAGCCTGCTGGGAACACACTGAAACTGCAGGTGGTTTTAAATGGGTAGAGAAGCGATGGTATTACCCGTCAGAGAGAAAATTCTTAGATGTTTTATGTTATGGGGAGAATGTCCACCACTTCTTGTTTAAACTTCCCATAAAGGCTGCAGCCTGTGATATTATTTTGGTGTAGCTCTACTCACAAATGGCACATGGTCCATGCAAGTCCATGTACTGCTGCAGGAGGAAAAGCTGTAGTATGCATGGATTGAGCATTGTAACTGCAACTGAAGTGAACTCAGGAGGTGTCTGAGGAAACATGATCGAAGCCTTCGCTCTCCCTCACCAGCGCCCTCTCCAGGATGACACGGCCCTCCTTGTAGCGTTGGCTTTCCTCGGTTGCGAACTCGTACATCCAGCCCAGCTTGCTGTTGCAGTTCTTGCAGCTGACGTCCCGCACCATGTGTCTTCCTGTCAGCATCACTCTGTCTTGCACCTCGCTGTGCTGCAGATTCACAACCTGGAGGGCAGCAGTCACATATCAGTCACTGTAACAATTTTTTGCTTTTCATCAGATTTTTTTGTAGGTTTTCCAAGAAAATTTCAGCAAAGTCAAAACATTTAAAAGTCTGAGGTGTGGACCAGATGTAGCTGCAAAATGAATTAATTTTGATTAAGTTTAGGGCGGCAACTGCAATACTTTGATTTCTTAATTTATTGTTTATTCTATAAAATGTCAAAAAAGCGTGGAAAGAAAAAATTCCAAGAACCAAGCTGGTGTCTTTAAATAGCTATTTTCTCTGACCATCTGCCACACCCAAATATATTTAATTCAGAATCAGTGGAAATCTTTACACATCTCTTAACCTACAGTGGGAATGACTAGCTGACTCTGGGTGATGTTAAAGTAAGCAACACTTCTCTTATCCCATGACCCAGGTGAAGGAGGTGATGCGCAGGTACCTTGTTGAAGAGGAAAGCTCGGCCTGTGGCTCCAGTGAAGCGTGTGGAGATGAGCTCAGCTCGGTTGGTCAGGATTGTGTCACAGTTGGCACAAGAGAACAGGCGAGTCCCTCCAATGTGATCCAAGAAGATACGCCCCATTTTGTCTACCACCAGAAGGTAAGCACAAAAACATGTAAACAAAGCAGGCTTGTAAACCAGCCAAGTAAATACAAAAGGGGAAAATTGTATTTCCTTTTCACTGGTGATCAATATAATGATTTATCCAAAAGTTACAAAGAAAACTGTAATAACTTGTACAATAAAACTGTTTAAGAATGAGAGAGCTTATGTAGAGCTTAAAGTCGTAGCTCTCCATTAATATATCTTGTATGAGGCCATTTTAGACCATGTTGCAATTCAACTATCTGTCCTGTTTTGCATCAGTGTGATCAAATACCTTCATTTGTCAGGTATTTTATTAGCTGGAATTGCAGAAGACATTTCAATCTGATCATTTTTTCCATTGACAAAGTCTCAACTGGTTTTCCCAGCGTTTACTACATCTCAATAAATATTAATGTTGTGACATAAAATTACATAGGGTACCGTGACAGGGGATTTTATCCTAATTGCCCAGTTTTTTGTCTGTGACACCAAATTTTTAAAAAGTGCAACACATAAGGGTGAGCCCTGATGAAAGAAATGGCAGAGGCAGTGCCACCCTACTACAGAATATACAATCAGAGCATTATAATAGTGTTGCATTCAATGTAACCCAAAAATAATTATTGAGGGGGCTATTTTATCTGCATGTATTAATTCACTAAATACTGTCAGTAATTTACAACCAGTAACGTCAACTGTTTGCTGTATGTCGCAGATCAGTTGTCCCTTTTAATGTTGTCTCTGCGACACAAAATGACCGACAAACATTAATTCTGTGGTGACCCATTGTGAAAAAAGATACTGTATTTACGGTTTTCACCCTGAAATGCTGGACTCACGTGAAGGCATCATTTGGCCTGGTATGTCAATAACAAGGTTAAGCAAAAGTCAAGAAAGAAAGAAACGTTTTAATATATATTAGCTTCCTGTTGTTAACAAAGAAAAGCTCTAAGATGTATGGAAAAAAATAAAAATATCAACGCAAAGGTCTGTCAGAGGAAAATATGTCAAAGCATCAAGATAGTAACGTTAGCTAACGTTAACCGTTACCGTTAATAGGCCGAAAACGCTTTAGTCGAAGTCAAATTTCTCACCTCGTAACGTTAGCTAGCAAAATGGCAGTTGCGAGGAAAATTTTGTCGTCGAAGTGACTTAATTCACCGGTGTGTCTTTATTCTCGGGTGATTTATTCGGTCCCCGTTTCCTCTGTTATTGTTGTCAAATTCGCCTCAGCGGAGCAGTTGATACGACCAGTGAGCAATCAAGCTAGCTACTATGGGAACGACAATTTCCGGTCAGAACTTTCAAAGTAAATCCTCACTGAGGACATTTATGCAGTCACGGGTGTTATAAATTGTAAAAACGTAATACTAACGATCACAGTAATCACCCCAAACTTTTAGTAGTCTGTGCTGATTACCAGAGTCCACAACGCCACGCTTGTAACCACTTTTTTCCCTCAAATACAAAGTCTATGCTTTTATTTTGAATGCAGAGTCCTCCCAGTCGTTCCCGTGTATCCCTGGTGGCTTAATGTAGCTCTAAACTATGACCACAGGAGGGCAGCAGAGCACAGCCAGCATTTATCATTTATTCTTTTTAAAACCATTGTTTATCTTGGATTAACCTGCTAATGCTGCATTGCTAATTCCCAGGTTGGATGCCTCTTATCATACATGCATCTTTATTGTTTAATTCATTTAAAATCACCCTAATTTTAGTTTTTATTTTAGTAGAGTCCTTCAATAAAAAACATTACATCTAATGTATCTGAGGGGCAAACAGGGAGAACTTGCTTGGACACCTGGGCGACAACAATAAACCAATGTCCAATTCGTCAGGTTTCTTTGAGTGTGGTGACCCATTTATTTTCACACGTGCTCACATACACACAGGTAAAACACTGTATGTCCATACTTCATCTCAGGTAAGTTTCCACTTAACAGTTTCTGACTCCATCACAGGTTAGTATCCATTCAACAGCTGAAAGGTAGATCAAAGGTCAGTTGCCATTCATCAATTTTAGTTTCAAGAGGCTACAAACTCTTCATGCTCCAACACTTAACATGGTCATAAAACTGTTTCCTTACACACACCTGCTGCTCATCACCTGCATCTTACCTACATTACCTGTGGTTTTCCTGTTCTAGTGAGCAACCCTGTGTACAAACAACAAACCTGCATCTATTAACATGTAATCGCCATTAGTTAATTGTGAACCAAAACAAATATGTTGTTGTTGAATGTTATTGTGGCTCCAACAGTTAATATAAATCCATCCAGGACTCCCATAAAAGCAATGAAGTATATCTTCTTCTAGTTTTTGAAGACATTTTAGCCTTATCCTTCAAGATCAGTCTCTGGTTTGTCAGATGTTGAATATTCATTTGTATTTAATTCATTTAATGTTGCAGAAAGGTGAATACATTACAGCAATGGCGACCTCTCCTGAGTCTGTTGGGAACAGGAGATGGAAAACAGGAGAGAGCGCATGTAGTCATTAAATATTATGGACCAATTTAGCACCAATCAAAACTACTCAGACATCAACACACGGCCAAGTACTTATCATCATGAACAAAAAAAATCCTGCTATCAAGGAACAGATAAACTTTACAGCTTAGATTAAGAAAATCAAGACAGTGTGCTCTACCTGCTGATACATGCCTTACATTCAAATAAAAAGATAAGTGCCATATAAATCCAACAGGCCTGATAGTAACCTCGCACGTCTGTTCTGTTCAACCTTTACCAGCTCAGTGAGCTTTTTGCCCTCATACTATATGCCTTTAGTGCACTTTATCCTCCCATGACATTTCGCATCTTCACCAGATTGTTCAAAAACCTCAAAGCCTCCCACCTTAGGTTACATGACAGTGAGTCAAAGACAATTCTCTCCCATCGTGTTTGTCTGTGCCGAGCAGCAATAAGTAACATCCATCTGGGGGACTTTCGCTCCAGTCGGTGGGATATGAAAGCAGCCCTGTCTCCCTACACCTTCTCTTATTGTTTCTTCTGTTCCTCCCTTTGATACTTCACTTTGATAAACTGAAAGACTGACTTAAAAGATATCAGTTAATCTTTGTACAGTTACTTAAAATCATGTCTCAGAAGCCATATACACGCCTCTGTTTTTGTGCTGAAGTTGTCGAGGATCTGCCCCGACTTTAAGGGACCGTTCAACCACAAATCAAAAGTACATATTCTTCCTCTTACCTGTAGTGCTCTTTAACACTTAAACACATATTATTTTGGTGTGAGTTGGCAAATGCTGGAGATAGCCATAGAGATGTTTCCCTACTCTCCAATACAGTGGCGTAAGGTAGTGGCGATGGGCCCCAGTGCACACTCCTATAATGGGCCCTACTGCACCCTAGTTACACACTGCTGCTTTTATGTTATATGTGCTTGCAGATGTCCCCAGCTTGTCAATCTTGATAGATTTTGCACCTAAGCGAGCTGCTGTAAATCGTATCGTCTCATTACATGATTAAACAGAGACTTTATATTGGACAACATCAACATACATATTACCCAGCAATCATCTTTAGATTTCTGTATATGATAAAAACTACAAGAAAAAACGGGAAATTATTAGTTTAATCAAATAGTTTTTTATAGTTATATAATTTTATAATTTTTATGCTTTATGCAGAATAAGCCTAGAATTTGTTAGGGATTGATACTATTTTACAAAAACAGAAAACAATGATGGAGATGGGTTTGACTTTTTGAGGGCATAGATAGAAAATTGAGCCCAGTCTCATTCCGATCGTCCAGTCGTTCAAATCCTGTGCTTGGGCAGTGACTTGCGGCATCAAAAACCAATGAAAAAAGGCGTCCTTTAACGTTGGCATGATGCATGGCTGGTTGCCGTTATAGTTTAATTGTGCCCATTGCGTTAGGGCAAGGACAAAAGTTAAGGCGGTGAAAGTTCGACTGGGGTGGGCAGGAGGGTTGGTGGATGGGTCAAACAAACACTGACCTTCACCCAAGAGAGCGGTGTTTGCGTCCCGAAAGATTATAAAGCCAAACCCTGTTCTTTTTTCCTAAACCTGACCACGTGTTCTTGTTGCCTAAACCTAACCACGTGTTTTTGTTGCCTAAACCCAACCACGTGTTTTTGTTGCCTAAACCCAACCACGTGTTTTTGTTGCCTAAACCCAATCACCTGTTTTTGTTGCCCAAACCCAACCACGTGTTTTTGTTGCCTAAACCCAATCACCTGTTTTTGTTGCCCAAACCCAACCACGTGTTTTTGTTGCCTAAACCCAATCACCTGTTTTTGTTGCCCAAACCCAACCACGTGTTTTTGTTGCCTAAACCCAACCACCTGTTTTTGTTGCCCAAACCCAACCACGTGTTTTTGTTGCCTAAACCCAACCACCTGTTTTTGTTGCCCAAACCCAACCACGTGTTTTTGTTGCCTAAACCCAACCACCTGTTTTTGTTGCCCAAACCCAACCACGTGTTTTTGTTGCCTAAACCCAATCACCTGTTTTTGTTGCCCAAACCCAACCACGTGTTTTTGTTGCCTAAACCCAATCACCTGTTTTTGTTACCCAAACCCAACCACGTGTTTTTGTTGCCTAAACCCAACCACGTGTTTTTGTTGCCCAAACCCAACCGTGTGTTTTTGTTGCCTAAACCCAACCACATGTTTTTGTTGCCCAAACCCAACCACGTATTTTTGTTGCTAAAACCCAACCACGTGTTTTTGTTGCCTAAACCACTTGTTTTTGTTGCCTAAACCCAACCACGTGTTTTTGTTGCCTAAACCCAACGACATGTTTTTGTTAGCCAAACCCAACCACGTGTTTTTGTTACCCAAACCCAACCACGTGTTTTTGTTGCCTAAACCCAACCACGTGTTTTTGTTGCCTAACCCCAACCACGTGTTTTTGTTACCCAAACCCAACCACGTGTTTTTGTTACTCTAACCCAACCACATGTTTTTGTTGCCTAAACCACTTGTCTTTGTTGCCTAAACCCAACCACGTGTTTTTGTTACTCTAACCCAACCACGTGTTTTGGTTGCCTAAACCACGAGTTTTTGTTGCCTAAACCCAACCACGTGTTTTTGTTGCCTAAACCCAACCACGTGTTTTTGTTGCCCAAACCCAACCGTGTGTTTTTGTTGCCTAAACCCAATCACCTGTTTTTGTTACCCAAACCCAACCACGTATTTTTGTTGCCTAAACCCAACCACGTGTTTTTGTTGCCCAAACCCAACCGTGTGTTTTTGTTGCCTAAACCCAATCACCTATTTTTGTTACCCAAACCCAACCACGTGTTTTTGTTGCCTAAACCCAATCACCTGTTTTTGTTACCCAAACCCAACTACGTGTTTTTGTTGCCTAAACCCAACCACGTGTTTTTGTTGCCCAAACCCAACCGTGTGTTTTTGTTGCCTAAACCCAATCACCTATTTTTGTTACCCAAACCCAACCACGTGTTTTTGTTGCCTAAACCCAATCACCTGTTTTTGTTACCCAAACCCAACCACGTGTTTTTGTTGCCTAAACCCAACCACGTGTTTTTGTTGCCCAAACCCAACCGTGTGTTTTTGTTGCCTAAACCCAATCACCTATTTTTGTTACCCAAACCCAACCACGTGTTTTTGTTGCCTAAACCCAATCACCTGTTTTTGTTACCCAAACCCAACTACGTGTTTTTGTTGCCTAAACCCAACCACGTGTTTTTGTTGCCCAAACCCAACCGTGTGTTTTTGTTGCCTAAACCCAATCACCTGTTTTTGTTACCCAAACCCAACCACGTATTTTTGTTGCCTAAACCCAACCACGTGTTTTTGTTGCCCAAACCCAACCGTGTGTTTTTGTTGCCTAAACCCAATCACCTATTTTTGTTACCCAAACCCAACCACGTGTTTTTGTTGCCTAAACCCAATCACCTGTTTTTGTTACCCAAACCCAACTACGTGTTTTTGTTGCCTAAACCCAACCACGTGTTTTTGTTGCCCAAACCCAACCGTGTGTTTTTGTTGCCTAAACCCAATCACCTGTTTTTGTTACCCAAACCCAACCACGTATTTTTGTTGCCTAAACCCAACCACGTGTTTTTGTTGCCCAAACCCAACCATGTGTTTTTGTTGCCTAAACCCAATCACCTATTTTTGTTACCCAAACCCAACCACGTGTTTTTGTTGCCTAAACCCAATCACCTGTTTTTGTTACCCAAACCCAACCACGTGTTTTTGTTGCCTAAACCCAACCACGTGTTTTTGTTGCCCAAACCCAACCGTGTG